AAAAAAAAAAAAAAAGAAAGGAAAGAAAGATAAGTACGATTAAGTACAGGACTCAAGAGAAAGAAGCCTGGGTAGACCATTTATGTCTGCTTCCAGGCAAAAGAAGTCCTTTTTGAATCTATCCAATTCATAGATCAGCAGAGCTCATCAGAGCAAAGGCCATATAGGAATCAAAGAATAATTTAGCCAAAACTAACTTCTTTGGGGACAGGAAATGGTACAAGCCATGGTGGGTGCCAAGATATCCTATACTATTGATCAGATCAATAAAGATCAATACAACTACAGATTCAATTGTGAAAAAGGCACAAATTTACATCCCAAAAGTCTACTATCCTATTTAAAAACCAAAAACATAATGTATAAAATTTAAAGAAATTTTATTAATACTAACCATTAATTTCAAGTATATATACAACTTTCAAAAATTAATGCTTTACATTTCCACTATATAAAAGTCTACTAATTGCTGCAAAGGAAAAGAAATCCATCGACTGCTGTAATTTATGAAAACAATTAAATTTATCATACCCCTTCAGCATAGTGTAGCCACAGGCCTCCATTTAATGAGTTTGGAATAATCAAGAGCACAGTTCTGACATCCTTTCAACCTTGCTCACATAGGATCCAGCTGATGACCACTGAAAGCTCAACAACTCATCTTCAAATTTTAATTTCTTAAATATAGCTGGAATGTTTAAGTACACATGCAACTTAATAAGTTTTAATATTCATGGTTCTAGAAAAACCATAAGACTGAATTATTTTTTTCATCTATCATGTCATATTTTTCCTTTAACTCCACTTTTCAAAATTTTTACACTGCCACTTCTAAACCTTTCCCTCATAAAAAGTTTAAGTCATGAAGACATAATAAATCTGACAATGCAATTATGTCACAAAATTCCTGTCTACCTCACAGAGGTGTTATACATTTATTTTAAAAGTTAATACTGAAGGGTGGTGCCAGCCACATCCACCAAGGGGGGCGGGGAGGGTTCAAACATGGCCTGGACCTGCTAAAAACGACAACAACCACCACAACAAAAAAATAGCCGGGTGTTGTGGCGGGCGCCTGTAGTCCCAGCTACTTGGGAGGCTGAGGCAAGAGAATCACTTAAGTCCAAGAGTTTGAGGTTGCTGAGAGCTGTGACACCAGGGCACTCTACAGAGAGTGACACAGTGAGACTCTATCTCAAAAAAAAAAGTTAACACTGAAAATGCTAAAGCCATCATTAAAAAGTTTTAATAGCCACACACAAAACGCCACATGTTATATCAGTCCATTTACATAAAATTTCTAGAATAGGCAAATCTAGCTATAAAAAGTAGACTGGTGGTTTCCAAGGGATAGAGAGGGGGTTAAGGAATGACTACCAATAGGTACAGGGTTTTTTTATGGGGTAATAAAAATGTTTTGGGACTGAGTAGTGGTGATAGTTGCACAACCTGTGAATAAATGCCACTTAACTGTGTACTTCAAAGGAGTGAATTTTATGTTATGTGAATTAAATCTCAGTTTTTTAAAAGCATAATAAAAGCTTCAGATGCTATTACAAGACTGGAATAGGATCTCCCATGAGAAAGTCATGATAATTATATCACTTTATATTTATTAAAACATATAAAAATATTCTTAACTACCCCCCAAAAGGACTATTTTTAAAGATTCCAATTTTAGATCAAAAATCATAAGGGAGAAAATGCTATCTGTATGGTTAATTACATGCTGAATCATACTGTGAAACTGAATCCCACTCCTAAGGTGTAATACTCCCCCCTCCAGGTAGAGGGCATTTTACAGCTAAAGAAGAACCATCAGTATGGGCACCTGTGCTATGCCTGGGAGTCAAAACCCAATAGATCTTGATGTGTCAATGAATTCCTAAAAAAAAAAAAAAAAAGGTGTGACACTACACCTTTCAGTATTCACTTTTTTCAGCTAAGATTCACCATTTGGTAGTTATGTTTTTCCCCTCATTAGAGTAAGGGGATCTTTCCTATCACTTTTTCATATCTGTTTACTGAATGAATGCAAAGATGGCTTTTATAATATAGTTAGCATTAGTGTACATACAACTTCTTTATATAAACAGTTCACAATCTATTACCATTTTACAACCTTTCTTCAAAAAATACAGGAACCAAACATGAGTGGCTTTAAATACAGAAGCTCAAACATTTCCAAGGTTGTTGAGACTAAGAGACTTTTCCAACACGACACCATGATGCAAAACTACTTTCTGTCTCTTACTGGTTTCTCCCAAGTGCCTGCTGCTCACAACCACCCCTCTAATCTGTGCTACACTCACCCTTCTGCTTTGTTCTCCTTTCTGGTCTCATATCTCTTGACGATTTTCTTACATTCTTTGATTTTCACAAAGTTAACTTCTATCAAGCACTACCAACCAGACAACTCATTTTCCTTCCTCGAGATGAGTGGACCCAGATCAAGATCTTGGTTTTATTTTTTCTTGGATTCGCTTCTACTACGGGTCAGATATATACAGAGTGTGCCAAAAGAAATGTATACATACTTTAAGGAAAAAATTGTGTTAAAATTATTACATTCAATATATGCTTATAAAAAAAACATGAATATGAGGGCACCGCCTGTGGCTCAGTGTGTAGGGTGCCGAGCCCATATACCGAATAGGGCATCAGTCATCACCACACACGTTTGTTTGACCTCCACATGATC